AATTATGTCTCATCTTCTCTTTGTCCTTTCAGTTGGACGGATTGTCTTTGAATTGTTTGCTGACATTGTGCCCAAAACTGCTGAAAATTTCCGTGCGTTATGTACAGGAGAGAAAGGAACAGGGCCTACCACTGGAAAACCTCTCCATTATAAAGGATGCCCTTTCCACAGAAGTAAGTTCTATGAAATCCTCTGTTATCCAGTTGACAATGAAGTCTTCCATTATCAATATTTGAAATAATATTAAATGATATTCAGGCGTACTTGTTGAAGTAATAACTTGACTGAAAGCAGATTTTTGACTTTCAGACCCTCCTAATCACCAGATATTGTTTAGCACACATTGACAGTAGCAAATCAAAAATTTACTATAGTAAATCAGTAAAACTAATTTACTATAAATAGGTTGAAATAGATTTCAGTTAAATCATTGAGTGTCAAGTGATCTTCACTGAGCTGAAAGGGAATACTTAGGTGAAACGTGATAAAGCTGATTTTCAATTTTATTTAGGTTTCGGTGCTGATGACAGGGATTGATCTTTCTCTGAATTGTTTTTCTTAGTGCCTTTCCTGCCATGCTGCGCCATTTAATAATTACCTTCTTTTTACAGTTATTAAGCAATTCATGGTCCAGGGTGGAGATTTCTCAAATCAAAATGGCACAGGTGGAGAAAGCATATATGGTGAAAAATTTGAAGATGAAAACTTTCATTATAAGGTATTCTGTTGAAAATACAGCTTGTATTCAGTTTTTGAAGTTTTAGTGATTTTTTTTATTTAATTTAAATAATCTTAGCGCTCTTTAGTCCACAGTTAGCATGTTTTTAAGCAGTGGAAAAGAACGCAACAAAAAACCCTAAAGTAGTTTGTCCTTAAGGTCTTTGTTAATTACAGAAAAGATGACAAAAGCCGCAATAGTTTAAATATTCTTTTTAATTGCCCCATTAGAAATTGGTATAAGACAATATTTCAGTTCAGACTGAAGTAGGGAAAATATTTTGATGAATGGCAAATTTTGTAGCTCTGAAGTGTATACAGTGTATTAACGTTAAACAGATGTTATGCTTGTTTTCATGTACTGTTAATATTTCTCACATCCAATCATATAAAAATTATAAGTATCTGTTTTGTTTAAGAAGTGGGGAATCTGTGGTAGATTGCAGAATTAATCCAAAAGAAAATTTAAGAGAGCGTTTTCTCCAGTACAGCAGAATTAGAAGTAAGAGGCTGTTTACACGTTTTTTGTACCCAAAATGGTTGAAAAACGTGCTGTGAACAGAACAGGTTTTTGCATATGCAAAGCTCTGCATTTGAGGGTGTAGTTTTAAGGGATGTTGGCTTTGATGGTAGGGAGAATTTCAGAAATTCCTTACCTCCCATTAGTAATGCTCACTCCGGTATCAAAGCTCACTGTTCTATTACTAGCACCAATGCAACTGTTTGTCAGTCAGCTCTATAAAACTTTTTTTAGGATTATATTAAACCATGCTATTTCACATGCTTTTGAGGTACGATCCCACAATTCTAAAACCATCTTTGCCCTTGAAATCAGTATCACATGATGCCAGGCAGACTGTCAGTGCATGTGCTTTTACACATACAAATTAACAAATACAGCTCTGAACAGCAGTTTCCTCAGGATCTGTCCTTGCCTCTTCCTGCATCTTATGCAACAGCGTAAACTTCAAAATGTCCACTGCTTTTCTTCAGGTTTCTCTTTCTTGCTTTTGACATGGTACTCACTACTTTATCATGCTTTTGGAGAATAAATGTTTGTTCTTGTTTTGCTTATATGAATTCCTGTAAATGGCAGCACACTGAAAGACTTTGTCAGTAGTCAGCTTATCACGTCAAATCACTCCCAGCGGACTTTTTTTAGTGTCACTTCTGCAGCTAGTGGCTGTGCCACTGTGGAACACCCAATTTGCACAGCCCTCAAGAAATGTGGTTACCATGCCGCAACTTTGCCAGGCCTTGAATCTGTCAGAGACTTTGTCCAGATTCTAACTCGCTTTATAAGCTGACCAAACGGCATACAGAAACTTAGCATGGGAAAGACACTGTTATCGGCAGTGTTTTTCAAAACACTGTCAAGGCAAGAAAATGCACGAGTGATCAACAGTTTTGTTTATGAATAGGGACTCTCTGCATGGGGCTGATGCTGAGACTTGGTCCCAAACCAAAGGGGGTTGCGTGTAAATGTCCTGAAGATCAGAACCATCACACTGCTTTCTGTAACTTTCCAACGTGTCCTCCAAATCTCTATGGACAAAAGGTAAACATGCACTGGATAAGGAAACAGGAGCGCACGTTGTTCCTTGCCCCTCTGTTTACAAACCAATCCCATCCAGAATTGCTTGTAATTACAAAAAAAGGAGGAAAAAAAAAAAAAGCAAGATTTAAAGGTGTCATTTTGCTTCTTGGCAGTCAGTCATTGGCCAGCCTCAATGTTACTTGCAAAAATCTCCTATGGAAGAACCCCTTCCGATTAACTTGTTTGCCAGCAACTATTGCACAAAATGTCAGATGTTTTGGAGGCTGCCTTCCTGCAAGCTTGATACCAAGTTGCTTTCTTCTGCTGTGGAACACAGCTTGTTCTCTCTCAGCCAATTCTGATTCCCAGGATGAGTTTCAAGATTAGAAGAGACCAAGTCAAGGTTATTCTGGTAACTTTTGTTTGACTAGGTGCAATTCTTGCTTTCAGCCATACGTCCTTTTCCCAGAATTTCTGGGCCTAATCTTGTAACATCGCTGAAAGATCCTCGTATCTTATGACTGGATGAACACCACAGGCAGGGAGTTCTCTCTAAGTCCATGGAAATCCAAGCATGGAGTGGGAAAACAGTTTTCAATACAGCATGTTCTTCAAAGTGGTAAAGACTGTAGTGACAAACCAGCTGCTTAAATACAGCTGTCTAAGACTGCTGTCTCAAACTAATCAACCTCCTGTTGAGCTCTGAGGGCTGTTTCATAGCAATGTCAGCTTCTGTCTCCTCTGTGCTGTCATACTTGGTTCTTTTGCTCTCCCCTCCTCCCTACAGTATCAAGTTTCTTAAGGATACCACAACTTGCATGCTTCAGACATGTACAAGTGTCTTCATATAACATACTGACCTTTGTTAAATGTAGTTCCTTGCACTTAATAACTAGATCAAGTTTCGGAGAATAGTATCTTAATGTGCCATGCCAGTTTAACAAGAGAGTTTCCGCAACGTGTGAAACATACATTGTTGCAATACAAGCAAAAAATTAAATAATCTGTATGATGGAGCAAGATAATTCTTATGTCAAAGAACAAAAATACTGGAAATGAGATGGATGATATCTTCTTATGTTGGGCTGTTTAACCAATTTTTGGTGTCTTGTGCCCTGATAGAATGAACTACAATAATTAGATGGTTAAAAATCCCAGCAGAATAAAAACTGTCTCACTAGAAAAGCGAAAGAGCTAAAACAAGCAAACAAACACAAACTTTAAATTATAAAGACCACAAACCCCTAAAACTCATAGTTGTACAACATACTTTGTATAAGTAGATCTTTTAAAATTAGCAATACGTACCGTTCTTGATAGTGTAACATTAAGTTAGTTAAAGTGGTGTGTTGCTTTGTTTCTTAATGAAGTGGTTTTGAATGATCCAGGGAGGAACATCACTTACCTCTCAGATGATCTCTAAATTCAGCAGCTGACCAGTGTGGAGTTTATAGACTGCACAAGGAGTAGACAAGAAATGCTGCAATGTGAAGTCACACCAGGAGGTGGCAAGTATAGAGGCAGAATTGGCATTTGCCCTGTGCAATCGTGATAGGTAAAATTAGTATTAGTAAAACAGTATATAACTCATTTCTCCAAAGTTGTCTTTATGGTTGTCATTACAATATATAGCAATAGCCTTACAGAATCTTATATACGATTTTGTAATAGATCTTGTATATCTTGGTTGTGATTTTTTTTTTTTTTTTTTTGTTATACAGCATGATAAAGCAGGGCTGCTGAGCATGGCAAATGCAGGACCCGGTACTAATGGCTCTCAGTTCTTTATTACAACGGTGCCTACTTCTCACCTGGATGGGAAACACGTGGTGTTTGGCCAAGTGATAAAAGGAATGGGTGTTGTTAAAATACTAGAGAATGTTGAAGTAAATGGAGAAAATCCTGCTAAGGTAAGCAATATCAAAATGCATAGGGATCTTTTTTTTTTTTTTCTATTAAATGATGTTTTGACTGAAAATTATGACTTGATTTGACCAATTTTTCAGGAGGATTAAAAATGATTTTCCTTTTACTAGAGAAAAGTGATAAAGGCACTGTTTTTACCAAGTTATTTTTGGGAAGTATTAAACCATTACCTTTCACTCCCTGCTATTGTAAACACCTTGCAGGTCTTGTTTGTCACTTACTGAAACTAAAAATTACAGGATTGTTGATTCCGTTAATCTGAAACATTTGTGTCATAAAAGTATTGGAAGGAAAAAAAGTGATTTTGTGAATGAAAACTATTAAAGTGGTGACTGATTTTTCTAAAGTGTTTTAGAAAAATCAACCAGCCAGTGGATTTTTTGTCATCCTTGGGGAGAAAGAGTGAATATTGTTGAAGGAAGTGTTTTTTCTCCCATAAAATCTAAATGTAAATATATCTTCTTTCTTTCCTGTGTGATGGCATGGAGGAGTAGTGCACTCATTTTAGGAGTTAGCTTCCTAGATTCTAGTTGATAAAATTTAAATGTGAAAACTAAGAAAAATGCATAGGTGAAGCAGGAAGTAATAATTCTTTGCAGCGTTCTTTCCTTTTAGTCTCTTCTGAATGATTACATTGGAAAAGCACCAAAGGCCTTATGCTGCTGGAACTGCTGCCTTTTGGAATAACTTTAGGTCATGGTAGCTTGGTACAAACTTCCTGAGCTGGCAGATTCTAGCATGAATTCATGCATTTCTTTCCATTTCTTCTAAATGCCTAGTGTAATGTTTAGGACTATTAAATGTTTACCAGTTATTTTTACGAACAGTAATGATTTTCAGTTTACTGTTCATGTTAAGAGGTTTTTGTTCCTCTATTGTAAATTTCCACCACAGAAACAGTTGTCTTATTGTTCAGTGCAACTGAGAGGGTAGAAGCCTTTATCAGGGTGAAGGTGGAAATACACTTCTAGAAGTGGAGGACAGGTGAGGAAATTACAAAGTGGAATTCATAATCCTAGGTAATATGCAATCATCATGAATTGCGTGATATGCAGTTGTCATGAATCTTATGTCAGAAATTGTTGTATTTCTGATAAAGCAATCAGTGTGTAAGTCATGTCAGTTTGTAAGTGTTTGAAAAATGTATACCTGTTATTTTAAAAGATTTGTCAGTTTGAAAAAGAACGCTCATCTCTAATATAATAAAATTTCAGTGTCTTCTGCTTGTTGCAGCTCTTCTCACTGCTGTTTCCTCTTCCAGCCTCTGTAGAAAGTGGATATGGTGTGGTTGGAATGCTGGTACTTTGAAGATGATACTTTCTGTGATAAAAGCCTTTTAATGAGGTTAGGCTAATGATGACATGACAGGTTTCTGAAATCAATGCACCCAAAGAACACATGACAAAGCATTTTTACTGAATTTCAGAAAGCACGCATAATCTTTTTTTTCCCTGAAATTGTCTTAATATACTGTACTGCTATTACACTTTCTTTTTTTTTTTCAGTTGTGCGTTATTGCAGAATGTGGAGAGCTGAAGGAAGGAGATGACTGGGGAATTGTTCCCCAGGATGGCTCTGGAGATGCTCATCCAGATTTTCCTGAAGATTCAGATATAGACTTGAAAGATGTAAGCGTTTTTCTTTCTAGATAGTTATTTTACAAAAAGCAAGACATGTAAGTTATCCAAGCTGTATGGTATCTGTGAGGCTATTCACTAAGCCTTTTTTCTTAAGTTCAGTCAAAGTACTGATCAAGTGGTAACAATGAGTTTTAGGAAAGAGAATGCTGGGGGAGGGGATTGCTGTCTATTTTTTTCAGTGCTAACTACAATTAATTTTTTCCCACTAAAAGCACAACATACCACTTAATTTTTTCAGTTTTTTTTTTTTTTTGCTACTCTGTTTTTGGTTTGTGCTGGAGTGATAAAGCATAATTATTAGAACTCAGACACGTAACTTAATGTTGCACCTGCACACTTTCCTGTGTGACTTTTAAAATGCCCACCCTTAAAAAGATTTAGCCTCACTTATTAGAGGTAATAAAAGACTGGCCTTTTGTAAAGATTTGACGACATCATACTTAGAAGTTCTCAAATCCCAGTAGTTATTTGCTTTGCAGGTTGTGCAAACTGAAGGAAGACCTGTTGGTGAGGGTTAGAAAGCAGACTGATGAAAGCAACTCTTCTGTTTTGCAGGTTTTTACTTTACCATGAGTGAACTAGACAAATTGTGCAAATCAGACACTGATTTCTGAGGAAAAAAAGGGGGCTTGTATATGTAGATTCCAAATACAAAATCAGAAATGGAGAGAATAGTAAAAAAAAATTACAGCTAGAATGCAGAAACTCCTTTGTACCTGGCTGTGGAGAAACACTTTAACTTGGAAAACTGTTCTGGATAGCATTTGCTCTGTTTCTGCTCTGAAGCTGGTAGATGCCTGCCTTTCTTACCTTTAAATTTGTTTATATATACTAACTATAGAAACCCTGGTGACATTGGCTTCATGCTGTGATTTGTTTTTTCAAGGCCATTAATTCTAATATAGTAGAATTGTAAATCAGAAGTATTACAGATGGCAATATCTACATAAGACAGAGCTTAAGACACCTGTGGTATAGGCACCAGTAATTATAAACTGTTCATTGTCACTGGAAAAGTAACTTAACACTTGAAATGTGTGCCATTCTGGAAATAGAAATGATGGATTTGATACAAACAGGCAGTTTATCTTTTTCTCCTCCCATAGACTTTTTAAGTGTTTTAAAAAGTGTATTCATATGACTTTTAGTTTGAGACTATGCAGAGAACAAGTGATTAATACTGCTTTGAGAAGCAGAAGACAAAATAGTCTTGGTCATACACTGAGATTGCTAAAATATCTTGTTTTCCATAAATAGTAGTCAACACCTTTAACTTCCTCTGTGCGTAGCAACACAGAGGATTGAACTGCTTTGTTGTCTCTGTTTTTTTGACATCAATGGTATCACCTGTTATCCTGTAAAAAAGCCATTAGGAATATCATCTTTCAGATTACTTATTGGGTATTACATAGAGCACAGAATATTACAGGAGTGGTTTGAAACCACTATTTGCCTAAAATTGGAATACTTTTATTCTGAGATTTTATAATCATTTTTGAAAGAGGATGGACATGCAATCCTACTGTTAAAGATTAAGTCAATCAAGACTTTCTTGGTAAGTAATTTGATCCTTTATATTTTCCATCTATTTTATTAGGTTGACAAGATTGTGGCCGTAGCAGAAGACATAAAGAATATAGGAAATACTTTCTTCAAATCCCAAAATTGGGCAGTGGCAGCTAAAAAGTATAGTAAAAGTTTACGGTAAGGCTATCATCATTGAATCAGGTAGTTTCTATGATCCAAATTACCATTGCAATCAAGCAATGATACATGCATTTTAAAATGCCTGTTGCTGTTTTTTTTCCTTTTTTTTTTTTTTTTTTTTGAAAAAGCCTCCAGAATCTGGAAAAGAACTGCTTGATTTTTAGCTGCTTGCTCAAATAGGTCTTTTACTCATTGCTAGACAGGAGGTATAGGCAAGAGGTGTTGTTGAGAACTCCTAATCGCTAATGCTCCTCTGTTAATACTGTTGCTGTGCTGGTACATAACTGGGAAGAAAAGCACAGTAGTATACTGGGTATTTGGAGAGGGAAGGGCAGGAGATGCTTCTGCTTTTGCTTCCTAATAAACAGTAGGTTTAGGAGATGGTAAGTTTAAGAGCTATAATGTCCAAATATGACACACATTTCTTTAGATATTTACATTATTATTCCTTATTTTTGCTCTGAGGCACTATGCCATCATCCTAATGCTATGTGTAATTTAGACTTGTCTTCAAAATCAAAATTTTTCTGTTCTTGTCTCCCTACTGTTCCCTCTCTGATGCTATTTGCTTTTTATGTATTTGAGGTTCTCCCAGTGCCTTCTTTTTAAGTTATACTGACTTTTATTCCTACCTTCATAATTATCAACAGTCAATAAGCAGCAATAATAATGACAGAAAAAGAATTGAGGCCTATTTAATGCTTCATCTGAGTTTTAATTGGTTGGATTTCTGAAGCACAAAAATAAAAATATTAACCAAAAATGCATCCTCTCCCTTTGCACTCAAAAAACGCTGTCATAGCCCTACAGAAAGCCTGAAGTAAATTGGATTTATATGTAAACCCTTTAGAAATGATACAGACAAAAGGCTGGCATGGATCTTTAAGGAACTTTGTGTTGTAACTGTCTGTTCTCCTCCCCCTTTCTTAGGTAAAAATCAGGTATAATTATGCCATCCCTCACAGTTGTCTTACGCGCTCTTAAGCAAGGCCAATGAAAGCTGTTCACAGTCTGTGTGTACAACTTTTTTTTTTTTTTTTGGTGCTCATCTGCCTTTATGGATAGAAAGGATACTATCTTTTCCAGACTAAAAAAATCTGACCCTTCTAGCTCTTATTTATAGGTTATCTTTTCTTACTTTTGTGGGCATGTCCTGGTTGTTGTATCTTAAAGTATAGTACTTGAAGTAGGATGGAGTACTTTGGCTGGTGCTTCATCATCAGAACTGATAAAAACCAGTAGTATCTTATATACAACTCTCTCTCCTAGCAAAGCATCTAGGAATGATGTTTGTCCTCCTCCCTTTTTTTGGCAACAGTGTTGCATTATGGATCCTTTCAAGTTTATACTCATTTTTAATCTTCAGACCTTTTTCCTGTTCTATTGCTACTTAACCAGTTATTTCTTATTGTATGTATATGAAATAGATAGATAGATACTTTTTCTCTCTAAGATGTAGTATTTCCCATTTTCTCTATTGCTATTCAGCTTACTGATTTCTCCAACTGGCCAAGATTTCTAAAAGCTCTAATTTTGTTTCCAGAATGGTTACATTCTTTCGTGATTTATAAATATTACAGGTGTATTCTGTTTCTTTTGACCATAACTCAGTTTTGTATTACTTTATATAGGCACAGATATGTGGCAATTGCCTTAATCATGCATGGCATTCCTAAAATTTGAACATGTGCAAACACACACACTTTTGGTCAATTCCCTATGTATTTTTAAAGTAAAACTCCCCGAAGTTCTATCAAGCAGGCCATTAAAGAGTTAAAACTTATATGCACAGCAAAGACCTTTGCCATTTGAGCTAAAAACCTGACACCATTAGCACATTGTGAATGAAGAAGGAGATGGAGTTTGCCTGTCAGTTTCTCTAGGGAGCAGGGATGCAGTAAATGAGGCAGCGGGGTCCTGAACCAGTGTCAGTGTCAGGCTAAAGCTCACAGAAGGAAACCAGGGGAAAGGTGATGATGTAGTTAACAAAGCTCATAGAACTCCCTCCTTTAGAAAGGAAAATTAGCTTTAGCTTTAAGAATTTATGGCTAAAACTAAAATGGTACTGGTAGAACTGAAGGAAGACATGCAGCTTCCCAATGCTGCGGTGGTGTTGGCTTTTTGCCACTGATTAGTGACATAGTTGTTGAGAATAAATGGTAACTGAAGTAAATTCCAGGGGTTTCTTGCCATTTGAAATAGTGCATTTGTCTATCTAAGAAAAAAAAGATGCTGTTGGTACAGTTAAAGAATAGGAATATTTTCTTCTCTGCGTTACAAGGAAACATTCACCTGTGAGTTCACCTGTCTGGGTAGGTCTAATATATTCAGTTTAATTTTTTTTTAACAGTGGAATTGAAACAGAGTTAAAAATACCAAATTGGAGAAGCCTTTTTGCGTATAGTTTTGGAAAGACAGCTAAGGGCAGAACACAATGGAAGTTAAGCTGGCAACGCTAATACCTGTTCTTTGTAAACCTTCTTTTTTCCTGCAGGTATGTAGAAGCTTCTGAAGCAGTGACAGAGGAGGCAGACAAACCGAAGTTAAAGACTGTTGCTTTGACTTGTGTTTTAAACATTGGTGCTTGTAAACTAAAACTGTCAGACTGGCAAGGAGCTATTGAAAGTTGTTCAGAGGTAATTTAGTGTTTAATACTTTCATTAATAATTGGCCTACACAGATAATGGAAGCTAAAAATGTTTTTAAGTGTTTTCTGACAGGCTCATGATTTGAAGGTAAATAAAGTAGAAGGCTGACTTTACAGTTATTACTAACTTTCTCGTATGTGGCTTTTTGAAAAGGCTTTGAAATTGAAATGACTTACTAAAAAACAAAACAACTCTGTTGCTTACTGCCAGAGTAAAACGCAAACTGTGATTTTTAGTTTTGTTTCCTGAGAGCAGAGCTAATTTTTATAATACCCAGAGATAAATTGTTCAAAATGAAAGAGGAATACTTTTTCAGGAAGACTAGTATGGGCAAAATGTTTTACTTGTTTTTAGATTTGATGGGTTGGTATTTTTCTGGTTGAAGTCGCTTTTCTAATTAAAGTCCTTTCAGGTAGGCTTCCTAGTGAAATGAAACCAGCTATAAGGAAAAAAAAAAAAGAAGGAAACAAATGATAAATATGAAAGTATTAAAAAAAATAGAATTTAAGAGGAAAAAAAAGAACAGTGACATAGACCTAGTGACAAAAATTAGTGCAGTTAAGAAGCATGAATTAATTCAGTAAAACTTTGAAAATTTAAAGGAAACAGATTATAGAATGTTTTTGTCTGCTAGCAGAGCATCCTGAATAACATCTCCTAGAACTTTAGACTGAAAAACGGGGTATCAGCTAACTTCCATGAGGGGTTTTTAAAGAACTAGCTTGCTCTCGAGTGTGCTGATGTTACATACATAGAAAACGGCCATAAGCTCATATTCAGAATGGACAAATGGGGAATTGGGAAAGGGGGGGGGGGAACCAAAAAACCCTGAATCCACAACCTGGCATGAGACTTAGGTTAGGATAACCTGAACTGCAGTTACCTTTTCCTTGAAAACTGTATAGATACAAGTTCCATTTTATCCTAAGCTATGTTGCAACTTCATAAAAGACCAACTCTGCCAGCAGTATTAAAACTGACTAGACAGCTGTTCAGTGTGCTACAACATAGTATTCCTATTTACACCCTTAATGTTTTGACAGTTTACTCTTAAACAAAATGGGAAGATTGTCTGCTGGTGTGAGCTGTGCCATTTGCACTGGTGGGAAGTTGTGAAGTATGCTAACTGTTAATGTGACTATTTTATTAATTTGATAGGCTCTTAAAATAGATCCAGCAAATACTAAAGCTCTCTACAGACGGGCTCAAGGATGGCAGGGAATAAAGGATCTCGATCAGGCATTGGTAATGAACCTAATATATGTTTTTTTTTTTTTTTTCAATTTAAACATATAATCAAGACATTCATTTATACATCTTTCTTTATTTAAGGCTGATCTTAAAAAGGCGCATGAAATCGCCCCTGAAGACAAAGGTAAACTGTTTCTTTATAGATTCTTTACTTTTTTTGTTTTAAAAAAGAATATTTAACAAATTAAAATGGGACCAGGGTGATGCCTAAAGTGCTGGCTTGTAAGAGCAGCTGCTGAAACTTAAATGCTGATCTGTCAAGCACACAGCCCACTGAGGTGGAAAAACTGTTTCTATACAGCATTGATGCCTCTGGTGCCCTGAGTTAAAAGGTCACCTTCTGCTTACGTAGGTCAACAGCATACAGAGGAAGTTCTCCCCATCTCAAAGTGTAATCTTCTCATTTTATTAATACCTGATTGGATAAGATCTTTACATCATAATTCTGTGTTGACACCAATTCTATTCTTTCTATATCCTCCTTTGCCTAGTGTTCCGTTAGATAGAACAAACCAAGGGACAGAGTCTTTTTGCAGTTAATAGCTGACTTGATAGAAAATCAAATGCAGTTCTAGCATTTAAAATATATATGGGTAATTTGCAGTAGTGTCATCTAGACTTGGCATATTAGGATACCTAATGTAAAGTGATTACTATAACTGGATCATGGATTTTATTTTTAAGCAGCTATCCAAACGGAAACGATCAGAATCAAACAGAAGATAAAAGCCCAAAAGGAGAAAGAGAAGGCAGCTTATGCTAAAATGTTTGCTTGATTTTCTTCTAAAATTTTAGACCTATGCACTAACTCTTGCAAAATAATAAACAGAGCTGTAAGCAAGTGTTTCTTCTCTCATTTGTCCTGTACTGCAGTTTTCGGTGTTTACAATTAAAAGTCTAATAATACACCATTCAAAGATTAAGTTGTTTTTTTTCTTTCTTTTTAGCTTTAGTACCTTGGGTTTTGTGATTCAGATATGTTGCTAAGGTGTAATCAGTAGTGGCAATAGTGTTTTTGCAGGTTAATAATTAAAGCTTCCTAAGAAGTTTGTTTTTAGCATCAAAACAAGTTAGGCAGTTTCTATTAGAGGTTTGGGTTTTTTTTTGAGCAGGCCTGCTTTCTTTCTTCTAAAGAATAAAATTGCTGGTAGACACAAAATGAAGGGGTTTTTTAAAATGCTTTATAGGTTCTATTGCAAACAGGTTCCCTATTATTCTCAGGAAAAAAATCTAAATTTTTTTTTATTTATTTAACATGTGTAACACTTAAAATCAGTGACAGTTTTCTAGACTGATTTATTTTCTGTACTGGAAATTAAGATTTCCTATAGTAAATAATTTCAAATAGAGGGAGAAAACATACCTTTTTTTAAGGGTAGGTACTAAATTCTTCTACTACACCCATGATTCTGGATAAGTCTGCTGTTATCACTGAACTTCAGCAATAAATTGACGATCCAAAGTTCATTTGTCAATCCTGAGAAGAACTTTCTTCTTCCTGCCACACCACTCTGTGAAGAAGTTCTTTTTAAATAAGGCTAAGGTTTAACCAGAACGCACTGACTTTCCATTTAATGTAACGGTCATACCTACAATTCAGAATAGCGTGTTAGTCTCAAACTGTTAAACATTCAAGTCAGTGCTATACTTTAATTACACTGCAGCATAAAACGTTCCAACTTATTTGTTGGAGGTCAAAAGTCATTGCATAGGTTTCAGCCGTTTTACATTCCATTATAAGCTGGTCCTCCTCCACCTTCAGGGACTACCCAGTTAATGTTCTGACTTGGGTCTTTAATATCGCATGTTTTGCAGTGGACACAGTTCTGAGCATTTATCTGCAGTCTTGATCCTTCTCCTGTTTCCAAAGGAATATATTCATAAACTCCTGGGAAGAGGAAAAGAGTAGTATCACTTCACTAAATAGTTTCCCCTTGCGCATATGCTGTACTACTCCTTACCAGCACGTGTAATGAGAGAAGTATATGACTAGTGTAATTCAGGTGCTTGCTTCCATGGTTGTATTTATTTTGTCATGAAAAATAATTTTTCAGAAAGTACATTTTTAAGACCTCCACTAGAACCCTCCTCTAGGAAGAAGAGTGGGATCGAATGCTTGAAGTGAGTATTAGGCCAGGTGGAGTATCCCGGAAGTACTTTGCCTTTCTTCTTGCAAAATTAACTCAGACACACTTTGTTTTTATTACCTACCTGCTGGACAAAATCTTTGTTCTGGTCCATCAAATATAGCCAAATTTTTGTTCACAGGGATGCTGTCATCTTTTAGGGTTAAATGAGCAGGCTGGTCATGTTCATGATTTGTACCACTTAAAGCCACAGACGACAGGAGATCAAAACTGATTTTTCCATCAGGCTTTGGATATTCAATAGGTGTGCAGTCTTTGGCTGGCTTGAGCTGAGCAAAATCTGGTCCTAAATATATTTTTTAATAAACAAATGTCAGTGTAGAATTAATGTAACTTGCAGCTACTCAACTACAAGTAAGCTATTCTGACTTTGCTGTTGTCATCAGAATGATGAAGTTATTTATAAAAGCAGGTCATCTTTTTCATGAGACAAAACTATGATAAGTAGACTAGGACGCCTAATGTATTCATTTATTTTGCTAAATAATATGACCAGGTCTCCTTTGCTGCTTAATCACGGATTTCTTTCCTACATTTTGAGACCTCCCTGCTTGAATATTGACCAGACCTGCTCTAGCTTCAACTGCAACCAGAAGAGATACATATGTAGTAGGTATCTCTCAAGAGATGATAAAATTACCTGGATGTTTTAATGTCCATGGTTCCATTCCTCTCAGTATCCAATAAAATATACCTGTGTAAATCATTCCTCCATACAAACCAAGTACGCTATGGCAGGATGGTCGGATGTTTCTAACTGAATATAGCTCTTTCCAAACCCATGACTTTTTCAGGTTCTCTTCATATTCTTGCACATCAAGTCCTAATGCAATACATTACATTACTTGTTAGGTACTTACTTCCAGTACAGAAAGACTATCCTTGAAATAAAAAATTATTGTCGAGTAAAGAATTGTTAGCAATGAAGGCAGCAAAATAATTTCAAAGCGGTAAGCTGGGTATACGCTTAGACTACTTATTTGAACCTCTTTTAAAGAACTGTTTTCACTGGCAGTTATCAACAGCTTATCTACTCCTTTGTAGCCTCTATTACATGAGCCACAAGAAGCATCAAATTGCCTCAAATTTTAGCAAAAGATAAAGATAACAGACAAGGAAGCAACAGGGGCAGCTGTATGGGAAAACAGCTATTCCCTAAGCAGGATCTAAGAGCTGACTAGAACAGTTCACCTGTGATCCAAGACCCAGGTCTTTAATTTTAAAGTTGCCATGTTCAAAAGATTTGCTTTACAAGCTATGCAGCCACAATCATTCTGATTTCAGTAATGATGACCATGACCCAAAGGAGGACTTCAGAGCTAGGGAGTGTTTTTTCTCCATTTCTAATCAGCAAGTTAATATGAGATATGTCCCACTACAAACTTCTAATTTGTTTACATTCTTTGATCACATTCTTTATGCATGCTACAAACATTGCATGCTTGACAGATGACTCAGTGCACAGTTCTACTGCACTGTAATTAAAGCCAAATAATTATCTTATAAAAGAAAAGTGCTTTCTAGGTGAGTTTTCTGATACTCTCACCTTCACCATTACTATAATTTCTTCTAATAAAAACAAAAACCAACCAAACAAAAAAGTTTTAAGGGCTTCTCTATACCTGAAAACATGCTTCAGTCTATATTTTCTGCTTCACGTAAGGGTCAGAAAAACCTCATTGTCTAGGCTCAGATGAGAGACTGTGCTTTGGTATTCTCTTGTCTTGATAAAACTGGTAACAGTTGATAAAGCCTGTCCACAATCAAACAAGAATGGTATGCTAACCTGGTAAGACTGTTTATTATTTTAGGCAGGCTATAAGCATTTTGCCTGGCTATACTAGACTAGTTTTAATTGTCTAGCACACCCCAGTGCATTGCATGCTTTATTTGAACAAGAGCTCACTGCAGGGTTGAATCCAGTGCTACAGAAAAGAGATTTCTAAAATAATAATCATGTGGCACCTGGCTGTAGTGTCCATCCCCAGAATGAGTGAAATTCGAATCGGGTCACCTCTCTGCTCAGGTGTAAATCTGTTTTGTTAACAGATTTAAGGGAACATGTAAGGCTTAAATAATCACTGCAATGCAGTCAGGATCAGGTGATTACTAGAATGTGTTTGAATCAGGTATAATAGGAAATACACAGTAGTCTTGCACTGAGAAGACTGTAAAATTAAAAGTAAGATGGAAGAAAGAGATAAGGGGGGAAAAAAGCATCTTACTACTACAATTAACAAAATCGTGAGATTTTCCAAGTTTATTCCTCACTTTTTTTTTTTTTAAATTACATTTCATGCATTTCATGTTACTTTTTTTTTGCCTTTTGATTCTGCAGTCTTTCAGTAGTACTTTTTGGATCATGAACAAAGGCACTGATTTTTAACATATCTGTAGGAACAAAGTATATATTCTGTTTACTTACACAGGAAGTGTAGACTTATTTTAAGATGCTCTTTAAAACACATAAGGCATATTTTTGTTCTAGCATTAGGATCAGTGCTCACAATAACTAAGCAAAACTTTATGAATTTGCTTCTTTCTTAAAACATTAGTCAGTATAAACAGTACATATATTTTTAAACCACCACATTTGTGATTTATTTGTGATAATTAATTCCTTCAGACACATTTAGTCATAGCTAAGCTGTGGTGGTTCTAATTGAACACAAGCTAAATTACCAGTTAAAGTACAGTGACTTATTAAGTACAGTGACCTTACCTATTGTCTTTGATTGGAGATTTTCATTGATTAACTGGTTGAAGATGGCTTCTGAAGCCAGGATGCCACTTTTCATTGCAGTATGTGTCCCTTTGATCTTAGGAACATTCATGAGTCCAGGACTGCAACCAATTAATAATCCACCTGGGAAGGTGAGTTTGGGTATAGACTGAAAAGGAAGCAGAAAGGAAGATTTTTCTATTTTGAAGAGAAAATTCATTCTGGAAATCAAACTGGCGTAAGACTTGAGTTCCATTAATATTTTTTACATTTACATGTGCACTATCTAAAAATACACCAGAACTGCTTTACTTAATCATGTAATCTTAGCATAGTAAGCAAATAAGAATTCAGACACAGGTCTGAATATAAAATAATGACTGACAAGACTCCAATTGCTTTATCAGCAACAAGATTATGGTAAAGTCATCCAGTGATACTGTTTTTCTCCTTCAGTTTGAAGTTTTTTTTTTCTTAAAATATGATTTGTCTTTCCATTTTCCACATAGTAAATTGTACCAATCTCATCTCCGAGTTTATTACTCTGTGCTGTGTTTTTTCCATTTGACAAACCCTTTTCGTGAAACTGCACAGCCCTCCCTTCTCCCCTCAAAGTCTCACTTCTTTTAGAAGTTGCTCAGCAGCCAACAAATACATTTTTGGTGATAAATCATTCTCTCACTCCCGTTCTGGGAGAAAGCATAACGTTACTGAATACTATCACCTCTCAGGAATTCTGTATGGGAGGAGAAGATGATCTGATACACAAACCTAAGAGGCAGATGATTTGGAAATGTCATGTATATTTTACTAATATAATATATTATACTCCTATATTAACTAAAGAATACCTTAACTATCAAAATAGCTATTCTCACCCTCATCCAAGGAGATTATGATTTTGTTAACAACAAGCAGCTTCAATGGGAGGGTGTAAGAAAACCCCACCTCTGTGTAACCTACAGACACTGCGAATGGAAAGCTCTGATCGAATCCTGGGTCTGGAATTGCTGAAAATAAGATATGAACCTAGCCTTCCAGATAAAGTCTTTCATACCGAGCAGTACATGTGAATCCAGCATCTTGTTCTTATTAAAGCTGCCTGCAAACAGGCCAACGCAATTCATTTTTGAATAGCCTAAATTTGACCCTAAACAAGTAGTTTTACTTCATCAAAACGTCAAAAGATTTATCTCAGGGGTTCAAGTTAATCTGAAACAAATATTTAGTTTCTTCTGCTTGTTCCGTTGCCAATTCACTTGCAATTACCTGTTCACTGTGCACATGGCGCTACTTTTGAATATTCATATTAAAGTAAATCATACTACACCCAGTGCTCTCCCTGTCTTTTGGGCAATTTGCTCAAGTCACACAGACTTAGTGATTTTGTTCGTAGTAAAAGTATGTAACTACAGCTCTTAACTCATTTTTCAGTGACCAGAAGTCAGAAGTTCAGTTACGTAACAGTAGTTCAAAGAAATTAAAGAGTAGGTAGGATGTCCTCTCTTTCCACAAGATCTTTGGCTGAAAATAGTTAACTGAAAACAGTTATTCTGTCTTATCTATTAGGGTGCAATGGTGCAGCACTGACAAGTACAAAAACATAATGTTTTCATCTTGAGCCATCTTGACTAGCTCTTTGAATTACATAAGGAGACGGTGAAGTAATCTCAAATAACTTCTTTCTGCATCAACTGTTTCAATTAAAAGGAACATAACGACCTGTATACTGACAAAATATGAATGAGATTAAAGACAAGTCATAAACAGAAAAGGTTATACGTATTGTACAAATGTTTTGTTAATAATTCTCATTATTAACAGCATTACTAGTAGCATGGAACTCCGTGTCTGTTTTCACAGGCAGTTTGTAGAGCTGAAGGGACACATCATGCCAGTGTGGCACAAGCCTTCCTTACCCCTGAGATACAGAGTGAGACACACTGACAGAGTGACATACAGGAATCCTTTTTGCCTTGAGCACTTGGAGAAGCCAAGTGCCTCTCAAGCACTTGGCAGACGAGAGGCAAAGCAAAGCTGGTTTGGAGGAGGGAAGACAGCAAGAACTGTGCCTCCCTGCAGAGTGCCCTCTGTCCCCTAACCGCGCACACTGAACCTAACAACCTCCTCCCATTAGCTCGCCTCAGTGCTGAGAATCTGTTAAGCAAATCAAACATTTTGACACTTGCATCAGTCATCGACATGACTGATTTCCTTCGTTTTCTTCTTTGATATTCATAAGGATACATTCCTTAACAGCAGTAACACCCTTATTTTTTTCCACAAAACTCCTCAGTCTTCTCAAGCTATTTGACAAAACGAAGACAAAACAGGTTGCATGGCAATTTCTAAACGTTAGAGTGCTTGATTTTGCAGTCTTAATAGAAATAAGAAATAACAGCTACGTAGATGTAGTCCATTAAACTCTGTCCCCTCTCTACATGTCCAAAAAGCTACAGGAACAGGAAAGTATCCAAGAGCACTCTTCCCTCACGCTATAGTTAGTATCACAATACATTAAACACTAAAGAGCATAGTCATAAGGTTATCTATAGCACAGTAATAAAAAACCCTTAGATCAATGGTAATTCTATACATGTTTGAAGCAATACTGTCAGCAAAACTAAAAAACAATTAAAGATACAGAGCCACTTACATAAGAAAATATTCCTGTACTCCAGTGATACACATGAAACAGAATTCTACAGTTATCAAAGCAACATATGCAAAAGAAAAGCTACGCCCCAAAAAAACCTTTTTTATTCCTAAGTGATTCATCAGTAAGGGTTTTTTTTTTTTTTAAACTGAAAGCATGTATAAAAAAGTCTATTTAGAAGTGTAACGTCATGATCAACTTGATGATTCTAACATATAGGAAACAAAAAGAAACAAATGCAAGTCAAATATGCTTTATAGTAGGAACAGCGCAAAGTGATACATTCATTGTTCAAGTCCAGCAAAGGAAAAAGCCCAAACACTAAGGAACATAGATGGATAAGAACCATAGTTCTACTGTCCGCAGAACTCAGCACAAATAATGTCTGTAAGTGACATCAAAGAAATACTATGTTCTTTCCACTATATGTTTATAGTAATGTGAGAAGTATGTAACTGAAGTCACAATCTGGCTATTTCATCAGAGACGTAAATTCAACAATGACTATCTGTGATAGACATACCAGTGCAGCGGAGACACTGGGTGGAAAGAGAAGCCCCTCTTATTTAAATGTCTAGATTAAAGCATACTTTGTACATGATCTCTGTTAATAATGGACCAACAATTGTTTCTTAAATAACCTTGTAACACAGCGGTTATCATGAACTAAATACATAAAACATGACATATTTTTACGTCAGATTAGATGAAGTAATCGACCAGTTGACTAACTGACTGCATACTACATGAGTTATCAAGAACCTATTCTGTGAACCCACATGATTCAGTCCCAGGCATTCACACTTGTATCAAACCCTGAACTCTGAAAGACAGTGACAACAGTCACCACGTCACTGAAATTCTACTTGTATTAGAAAAGCTGCATGAAGCCACATTTATATTAACAAAGGGATTCAAAGACTGAGAAGTCAGAGAACACTTTCTGATGGTGGTGATGTCTCCATAGACAGGCAGTAGGTCAGGAATATTCAAGCAAGTTTTAAGTTCCAAACTGAAAGAAGCATCTAGAAGATGGATCCAGGACACATAGGTGGGATTCTTAAAACACAAGGCCCTGCTAAGAGGCCTGCAAGCAGAAAAGAATGGAGCTGTAGCAAGTTCTGGACTATTTCCCATGTAAGTTATTCTAGCCCTTTCCAATGACCTTCAGTTTTGATGAATAAGGTATTCCATCTCCTAAGAAGCAACAAATTCAAAGCGGTGCATGAAAGATACCTAAGGTATCTGCACTTAAAGAGGTGAAGAGGTGTACTTAAACATGTGAAGACTTATCTGCAAGCTACATAAATTAGCGATGGCACTGAAACTGTTCAGGGTCAAGCCTTGGAAAGACGTTCCTTCTGCTAGGATAAACCAGAAATCGGGAATCCCCCTCCAAAATAACCAATGACTGATGTGCTACCTTCTCTTCCCCAGGGTTACAGACAAAACACAATTACCTGTAGCTTCCCTGCTGCTAAACACATTTGATTCATATATAACCCCGGCTTCCTATCTAATTTAGAAAGTAATTTGACTATGTCAGAAGATGGTTAGTTTGACAGACCCTAAGTCTAGCAAGTCTCAGCAGCCAGTCTGCAATAAGATGAAGAGGCTTTTCTGTCCAGCAAAACTTTTGACCTTGTTCGTCTTTGTTTCCTGACAGTACGCAACCTGAATTCACAGCAATACAAGCATGGCCACAGAGCACTAAAAGTAAAAAAATGTCATGGTAAAATTACCTGTAAACCACCTTCATTCAAAGCTCTGGCACCATAGGCAATCCTTTTTCCACCCTCCAAAGTAGGCTGTACACTGGGATGGTGCTTCCACCTCTGAAATTCCCTAAATGGATTCAAATAGGGATTTTGATAATCTAAACCAACCTTAAAAAAAAAAGTAAAGAAAAGAAAAAATAAATGTAACATCACTGAAAATAATGTATGACATTTCAACAAAGTTGTAAAAGAAAAGAATTGTGTATTATCACATCAACACTTCAAATCTATTTTGTACTAAACCAATTGTAGCTTCGTTCTACTTAAAGAAACTACTGCCAAAAATACTTTCTAATAACACTACAATAGCAGCTAGCCTGAGAATTTTGATGGACCTACCTAAAACCTGAAGCACGGAAAGTATTTAATTGCATTGTAACTGCCTTCCATCTGTCTTTGAAACAAAATAGTGAAATTACAGTAAGCATGGTATGGGGGGCAGGATACATGAGAAAACTTGTTTCAAATTTGTGTTCAAAAACTGCTTGCTCTAGACAAGCTGGACGGGAGAACTAAACAATTATTTCTAGGTTGTTGCGTCCTTGCACTCACATAATTTAAACAGTTCTTCGTGTGATTTAGCTAAGTCAATTATCATTTCCAATTACAAGAACCATTGTTATAAAGCACCAGAAAGCAACAATAAAAACAGAAAAGTGGGAGGGGGGGTAGAGGGCGTTGAAGAAAAAGGCTTTGCCAGTTGGCTAAATGCCCAGGATTTACATTTTATTTCACTGGAGAACTTGCCAAAAGAAACACCCTGCATTTTCCATCTTCAATACACTCTTGAAAGAACTTTTGTTGCTGAAATTTTCTTTTGTCAAAAGGAATTATTTATGGGTCCTTTAAGCTTTGAGACAATTAACAATATATATCATGAGTTAGCAACAAACAGTACCTCGATTTCTCTAGCCACTCACTGCATTCAGAAACTGCATCTGATTTCCTTGCTAGGTGAAGTTCACGGAAGATTTTCAAAATAAGTGTAGGATAATACTATTACAAGAATCAGCTCAGAGATGACAAAGGTGTAAAGTTCAAAGACAAAAAGTGCTTGTATGTGCACACAAAAACTGGTTTTCTCCTGTTCCAACAGGAGATAATATGAGCATTGCTGATTAGCATTCTCTAGAAGAACCAAAGCTTTCTACCCATCTAAAAACAAACAGAATTTGAATATCTACTGTCTATACTTATTAATGACAACACTGAAAATTTGCCCAGGACAAGTATGCACGTCTGAGCAAAAAGATCAACAGAAGCTTCTTCAACAGTTCTTAGATAAAGGTAGGCAAAAATACAGTTTGCACGCCTAAATCTGGAATGGAATCTTTCTGAAATCTAGGACAACAAAGAGTCACCTAAACTTCATGTTTCTAAAAGTCCAGACTACCTTCCTGACCGTTAGAGCTTTTTGTGTGTAAAGCACATGCACAAGAAAGATGCTGTATGCTTCACTTAGGACTGCAGATGCTAGAAAAACATTTCCTACTATTGCTCCTTACATCGCTGGTGGGCTGGAGGAGACTGCTCTAGTGATCTCAATGCTTCTCCTACAATGAGGCAATAAGAAGGAAGCAGCAGCTTCTCCAATTCACAAAGACAGATGCTAAAGAAAGCAAGGAGGATGGGGGAAAAATAAGGATAAGAATAGACTAAAGGGCTCAGAAATGGAAAAGATGATGGGATGATGCTTGTGGAATTGCAGAGAGTTTCCACTTACATTCTGCTCCTCTCACAAAGTGGATATGCATCCTAGGTTGACATATGAAGAAGGGAACTGAATTAAGGTTGCACAAAGTGACCGGATTATGACATTTCCTAACTTTTAATTAATCAAAATTTCTGCAAAATATTTAGCTGGTTTTGGCTTTATCAGGACTACAGGTTAAAATACGTTTGGTTTGCTAAAAATGCATTTATAGGCTTTCTATTTTGTTCTACTGGATTAGAGACAGGTTAATGACAAATTACCCTTTCCTCACATGGGAATGAGCACAAGTGAGAAAAGATTAAGTACCAAACTTGGTCTGTTTCTATTCTTGTGCTTTCATTTTGCATTAAAACAGGCAAGAAACTGCATAAAAATGAGGACTGAACAAAAAAAGCTTTACTTACCACAAATCCAAGAGCAACCAAAGGTTCACCTTCATTTAAGTGATAAAGAAAGGATCCTCCATACGTATGTCTGTCTAAAGGCCAGCCAACGGTATGTTCTACTTTTCCTGGCTTCCATTTCTTTTCATCAATAGTCCATAACTGAAATGAAGATCAACAGAAACTATTTTATAATCAAAGTAAGGGCCTACCAATAACATAACAAAAGACAAACACACAATTAAGTACAGAAGGAAAAAGATGGCATAAATAATACTTTCAATTTACTGTGCTATAGCTTATGCTTAAACTCATAGAGCTAAAGATGAAGTAATGAATTACAACTACTTCTTTTGGATTACCATTTAAGAATTTGCTATTACTTCTCTTCCTTGCAATGCTGTACATCAGAAACCCTAACTGAGTCTCCAGCATTAAACCCCAAATTTTATTTTAACCATAAGACCTTGCTTTTTATTAGTGGTTTCAATAAATACTTCTGCTAATGAATGCAGTGCTTACATTGAGTGTTTTCTTTAAAAACATTACTAGAGTTTAATAATATGACTGAGTTGATCTAAATACTTGCTGCCAAACAGGTTGTCCTCTGTCCACTCTCATCTCTACAAGCTCTAACACTCATCTGAGCCATGGTGACTTTGTAGAAACATCTTCACTTTTTCACTAGTGCACCAATTTTCTGATTATCTGACAAAATATTTCTTCACCACGGAGTTATGTGCCAGCTGCAGCCTCACTATGGAAGGAGAGTGGAACTATCCTATTTGGCAGTCAAGCACCATTAGATCAGCTTCGGCATGGAGGGTACATCCACATTAACGGATGAAGGAGTGCATTTCTGAGAAAGACTCTTGATTGCCACTTACTGTGCTTTGGTTTTCATCGTGGAGCAGTTACGGAAGGCATGAACTGCTTTCCTTTCACAGGAAACTAAACTGGAAGATAAGCTCCAGGAGCCCATCTAAAGCATTCCAGCTGTAAATGGGTACTCAGTCCGTGGGACCAGACTAGAGCTAGACCGAAGTAAAAATAACCCTAAAATGTACATAGCATGGACGTGAGCTCATCAGCACCGACCATTTCACTTTATAGATCCATTCTTACTGGTCTGTACCATTTGGTAAAGTAGGCATAGTCGTAGCGAAACCTCAGTCTCATCTGGACACACAGGAACTCTGCAGCAAAACTCTACTTTAACTATAACTTAGTCTTAATTACAAATTTTAATACCTATGACATGCATAGAAACATTTACAGAGTAGTTATCCTCTACAAAATTCTAAAACAATCATTTTACAGATATTTTGTAGTTAGAAATACAGGCTTAAAGGGATAAAGAAAGGAATATGTTATAGTCAAATCATGAATATACTCCATCTAAATATAACAGCTCTTTTCATTAGTAATAGTTTAGTTCAGGTTTTACTGAGTATAGCATACATATATACACACACACATATATACATACACACACACATATACATATACACACACACACACACATATACACACACATTTACATAAAAACATATAGAAATATAAATATATATTAAAAATATATAAATTGACCTCCATCCCAATTATATAAGCCCAGTGAAGGGATGTGAATATATAGAGAGCCCATAGAAAGCCTTTTCTTCCCTGCTCAGGTGCCTCCTTCCCCCTCCCCCCCCCGAGCCCCCAAGAAACAAAATTAGGCCAAATGAATCCTTTGCCCATTTACTGAAGCTACTGAAATTAATTACAGGCAATAGATTTCACAGATGAACTTAATCTGCCATCAAAGTAAGTAGTCAGAGTGGATTCACAGGCTAAAGTACTTCTAGTTGTAACACAGATACAAGAAGCAGCTAAAATGAAACAGTCATTGACATTCAAAGAACAGGCCTTCTCTGATCAACTCCAAAAGAGCAAAAATTCTGAAGTCTGAAAGTGTAACTCTCAAAACCTATCATTATAACATTTTATAAACAGAAACAAGTAGCTTATAGCTTTACAATATCTTCACCAACTGTTAAAATTATGCAGGGGATACCTCTTTCAATCCAATGCCATAGCTCTGGGGTTGACAATTCTCCCTTAGATTGTATTTCTTGTACAGCTGTTTGGCTAGATGCCCATGGCAACCTTCAGCAAAGACTGTGACTTTAGCATGGAGTTCCAAGCCTCTTTCAAAAGTAGCCTGTAAAAGTAGAGCATTTAATCATCAGTTTAGGTATGTGCCACACCAAACTCGCAGCAAGAGAATGGACGGCAAGAAGGTGATTTTACACTACTGTGTGCCACTGCCCAGAACCTACAAAGCATCACATGCTACAGCTCTAGTCCAATTGTCTTTCCCATCTAACCATGACATGTTCCCAGCAAGTCTTGTAAGGGGATTCGAATAGAGCACACAGTACTATAGTTAATCATCATTCTTCTACTCAAAAAGAATCTTTTCCAGATCAGATAGAGGATCCTTATATAACATCAGCTTGTTCATAGGGTGCAAGGGAGCCCCAACAGAACAAAGAATCTTAACCTATAACTTCACACTTCAAGTTCTGCTCATAAAGTCACATTATAATAAAACATTGTTCCAGATATATACATGGGATAAAGGCTACATAGAAACACCTGACCAGAAAACCTGTTACCCCTACCCCAAAATGAAACAACTACCTCAGAATAACGTTACTATAAACAAATATTACATTAGTCTTACATGCTAAAACATACGATAAAATTACAGTAATATTAGGTATCAGAATTAAACACTTTCTCACCAAAAATATGTTAGTCTACAGTATTACTAGATTATATCTGCAACGTAGGGATATCAAATTGTATATTTAGATTGTAAACGTACATAAACTTGCAGAGAAGGCAAACGAACAATCGAACAATGTTTTAAAGAAAAAAAAAAAAAGAGCTTGATCTGAGCAAGAAAGCTTAATGTTGAAAAAGATAATGAGAATAGCTTTGGATGAAGCCAGGTAGGTGTAGCCAAGCAAGCATCTCAAGGTAATTGTGCCTGAAGCCAGCACAGGTCCAGCATAAGCTTACTGCTTTGGTTTTGAATTGTTTCTCAGGTGCAATGAGACATATCGGTTGAAAATCTCTGAAAAGGGCTAGCAAGTGAAAATGTTCCCTTTAATCAGCAATTACCTTTAAACAAGATTTACAAGATTTTGCTGGATCTTTTCTATACCGTTTGAATTTCTGACTGTTAGTATTCCACAAAATCAATTCATTTTCAGATTACGAGAACTACATGAATTTATTATTCGATCTAAAGATTAAAAATAGGTACTGTCCAACTTGAAAGGAAGTTCCTTGCTGGATTTTGCAACTTGTCAGTATCAGAGATTCAAGTGCTTGAAACATTGCAGTAATGTGACAAAGTTTTATTTCAGAGTTAACATCCTTCTCCAGAACCTACGCAAGAATCAATGTGCAACTTTATACTGCATGCTTTTATCATTGACATTTTTACTTGATTTGTGCTGATTGCAAGGTGAGACTGTATTCAGCAACCACAGTCTATTCTATTCAGCTCGGACAATATTCTTGTCCTGAAGATTACACAAACTGTATTTATTTAACTGAATTTTATGGACTGCAGGTAGTATCAGTTGACCTCATAGACAGCTCATACACTTGAATACTCAGAAGTTTGCAGCAGTGGTAGACTACTTATTTACAAACATGAAGTGAAGAAATGAATAGATAAAGTGTTTGTAATAGATACATTCTCCCAGAAAAATGGGAAAAGTTTTCTAGGTTTTGCAGATCCTTCAAAAAATTCATAGTTCAGGGCCTTGACACTGCAAATCGATTTAATTTTTTATTGGTACAGCAAACGTATGTATTACTTGCACTTCCTACTGCAGGAAACATATAGCTGAAAACAAGTGTGTGCATATCCACATGCACACAGCCATTCTTGGAGACAGACAATACTATGCAAAGGCATTATTCTTCCCTGCCTTCACTTCCTCCTCCAATGGGTTTGTTCTCTCAAAATGAGTCTTTTCTTCTCATCCCCTGCCTTAAATGGGGAAAACAGCCCAGACTTATGTGGAAGTAAATACCTCTTTCAAGCTTTATGCAACTAGTAAGAAACTTCATAAAGATAGTAAAATTTAAGACAAAAACCTGTACTCAGAATTCCTGTGGTTAGCTACTTCTGTGTGAAAGTTCTTCTGAATTATTAAGTGCTGAATTCTCCCTATGCACTGTATAGGGAACCAACGTGCTTACAACAGGTTCTGGATTCCACAAAAAGTCTGCTGAAGTCCAACACTTAGGGCAAGAAGTCAAGTTTTGGATCCAGTAAGTAAAGGTATGTGGCCAACCAGCAAAAAGGTATGAAGATGCACTATGTACCTTGCCCCAACCCTGCAGATAGACTGTCAACAAATGTGACTGCAGTTGTAAACACCACAGAAAAATCAGCCAGAAACACTCTTACATGCTGCTAATTATCAGCTGGACAACTGCTCTCCATTTCACCTTAACGTCTTTTTTCTAGGAGTTCCTGGACCTTTTTCCTTGGCTCCCTGAATCCACATATGCCAAAGCACCCTTGCAATTTTTCCGTCGAGTCACTCTTAAACAAGCCTCCTTTCTGCAAAGGCTTTTCCTACTGATCTCAGAAACAACTTACACTGTTATGAGACCAAAACTTCCATGTACAGACAAACCATTTTATACACAGATATGGAGGATTCCAGTCCTTAAGACAGATACTGAGTTCTGTTATTTTTCTTAAGGTGCACCAAAATTACTGATGGCACTAGAAGCAAATATATTAATTCCATAATTAGACCTCTAGCTATGGGGAAGATGGCTGAGAATGCACTCTCAGCAAGTTTCCTGATGATACGAAACTGGGAGGAGTGGCTGACACACCAGAAGGCTGTGCTGCCATTCAGAGGGACCTGGACAGGCTGGAGAGGTGGGCGGAGAGGAACCTCCTGAAGTTCAACAAAGGCAAGTGCAAGGTCCTGCACCTGGGGAGGAATAACCCCATGCAGCAGTACAGGCTGGGGGTTGACCTGCTGGAAAGTAGCTCTGCCAAGAAGGACCTGGGAGTGCTGGTGGACAACAAGTTGACCATGAGCCAGCAATGTGCCCTTGTGGCCAAGAAGGCCAATGGTCTCCTGGGGTGCATTAGGCAGAGCGTTGCCAGCAGGTCGAGGGAGGCGATCCTCCCCTTCTACTCAGCCCTAGTGAGGAGTACTGTGTCCAATTCTGGGCTCCCCAGTACAAGAGAGACATGGCACTACTGGAGAGAGTCCAGCAGAGGGCTGCAAAGATTAAGGGACTGGAGCATCTCTCCTGTGAAGAAAGGCTGAGAGAGCTAGCACTGTTTAGCCTGGAGAAGAGAAGACTGAGAGGCGATCTCATCAATGTCTACAAGTAGCTGAAGGGAGGGTGTTGAGAGGATGGGGCCAGACTCTTCTCTGTGGTGCCCAGCGACAGGGCAAGAGGCAATAATGGGCAGAAACCGAAACACAGGAAGTTCCATCTGAACATGAGGAAAGACTTCTTTCCTGTGAGGGTGACAGAGCATTGGAACAGGTTGCCCAGAGAGGCTGTGGAGTCTCCTTCCCTGGAGATATTCAAAACCCGCCTGGACACGATCCTGGGAAATATGCTCTAGAGGACCCTGCTTGAGCAGGAGGGTTGGACTAGATAATCTCCAGAGGTCCCTTCCAACCTCAACGATTCCGTGATTCTGTGATACTTACTTTAGGTGCTCCATCCTTTTGAATGCCTACATCATTAGTTGCAATCCCTTTCACGCTGCCATCTTCATGGAAAAGAACCTTTGGAAATATTCAAACAACAACAACAAAAATTTTAATGACCTGTCATCTTAATCCATTCATTAATCCAAATGAAAAAATAACACTCCCCCCAAAAAGCAGAACTACTAAGCACCAAGTCTTTCAGCCCTCTAATAGGGGACGTTGAAGATTATGCAATTACTCAGGTACTCTGTGGTCCACTTGTGCTTTGCTGTATCTGGGCCAGGAATTTAGGACACTGAAGCACAGTTTTTTTTATTAGTGCACTTCTGTTAAGAGGAATTTTGTGAATGTACAAAGAATTAGGGGTGTAGCAAGGGGGGGTTTCAGAAACCCCTTCTCATACACACACTGATGTTATTACCTCAGCTGCTGCGTAGCCTGGATACACCTCAACACCCAAAGCTTCTGCTTGTTCGCCCAACCAGCTCACAAAGTGTCCCAGCCGTACTATGTAATTTCCATGATTAACCATAGGAAGTCCTAGACAAAACCAACACAGACGTAAAATGTAAAACACTAAACAAAAATAACAGCAGTTGTAGACATTGGACGTTGCATCTTTTGCTACAGCTGCTATCTTCACCGTAGTGGTATGTGTTATTACAGCCATCATCTACATGGACCTTATCACTGTCAACTATTACATTCTACACACACTTGCTGTACTATAGTGAAACAAAATTGATTCATTTATGAAAAAACTGAAAAAGACACCAAGAAAATGACTCTTTACCAAATAATTCCTCACCAAACCTTACCTGGGAGGATCGGCACTGGAATTCTAAATTTCTTTGTTAAAATTCCAAACCTGTCTTCAGTTACAGGAGTATGAAGTGGAGCCTATATAAAAAAAAGAAAATAAAGAGAGTACTGAGAGTTATTTTTTACTGCCAATCAAAAAAAAAAGAGGCAGTTAATGAAAGATCCAATAAGGCACTTCTATAGGACAGACATGCTTTACATACTTCTCACAAGAGAGAAGATAAAAGTAACCTAATGAAGTGATCAGCGTTCCCCTAGACACCACAACTCATACTCTTGCACACACGCATTATTTTGTATTACAGTCTGTTAAATTTATAGAAACCGTGTAGATACACTATACCTGCTCTGGAAAGCATTATTTTGAACTTCTTGACTAGAGAAGATTATGCAGGAAGAGTGAGTTACACAGCCACAAGCCTGAGCTTGCTTGGTCTCTGCAAAAAACCAGAAATTGTATGCAAAAACCTGGAGGTCTTTTGCTGGAGCTTGGCTATGCTGCAAATCATATCACACTTAACCATCATAACATACAGTAGCTGTCAGCACTCCCCAAGACAAAAAAAAACAGTAGTTAAATATGTAAAATACGTAAAATGTAAAATAGTATGTAAAATAACGATCAGGCAAGAATGACCACAGCTACTGAGGAAACAAAACTGTATGAAGTCCTCCAAGTTTGTACATATGCTTGTACTACACCAATATTCCAGAGATTTCTAAAGAAGGCAACTCAACTTGCAGGTCACGTTCAGCCCACTAAAACAACAGTCCATCTAGTCAACAGCCCACCTCCTGCAGCTCCTAGGTGATATTAAGAGGGCTGGCTGCAAGTCAGATGGGTTGTTCTCGCAGAGATGACAGCTTGCTGCCTGTTACCCTCTCTCCTACAAGCATGTTAGGCTTCCATCATATCACCATGTCTGCACATAAATCAGTGTATTGTACATCACTCTCTGAGCACATGCAGAACGACTGCCTAGAAGTAGCAAGTTTGACATTGCAAAGAAACCATTATCTTATGGCTTGTGCACGGGAGTTGGATTCTGCACAAATGCAGCAAATCTAGTGCATCCCAGGATGCACTAGACGTACTTTGTATGTGCACTACCCTATAAAGAAAAGCAAAGGCCACAGTGTATCTGTTTAGACATAAAAAATTAGCATTGATGCGCTAAAGGAAAACAGACTAAAAACAAGACAGAGCATTTTTCTGGTAAGTCACCACATTTTAAATGGAACGAAGGTAGAAAAGAATGAGTTGGATACAGAGTTTATTACCTTAGAGATGAACTGCAATGTTTACAGGTTCATACATACCCCCCGCTCCTTCCAGTCCGGAAAAAGTTCTTCTAAGGACCGTGGCTCAAGACAAGCACCAGAAAGTGTATGTGCACCAATCTGAGCGGCTTTTTCCACCAGACAAACACGTACTTCTTTGCCATGCTCAGTGGCTAACTGTTTGAGTCGAATAGCTGCAGAAAGACCCGCAGGGCCTCCTCCGACTATGACAACATCAGCTTCCTCTGCAAATCTTTCCATGTTTACTCCTTCAATAGGACAACAGATGATAAAACAAATGGATCTCCAGTTTCTCCTGCCCTCTCTCTCACTAAATCTTGCTTTGCGATACTGCTACCAGGTAACGCAGTAACATCACCTTGCATAAAAGAAGGCCAAATATTCAACAGAATGCTCACTTCAGTACTTGGAAGAGGGTAGAAGGACATTAGTATTCATTTTGTCAATGTACAATCAACTCTTTGTAAGTTGTAAGAAGATATACCATAAAAACATATTCAATATGTATACACTGTAGGTAAGTATCAGCAATGTTAAAAATAAGAGCCTGGTTGCCTAGCTGTATCAAAGATACTTGGTGAAACTCTAGGAAGAGAGAAAGAAAAGAAAAAAAATCTTTAGTCAGAACAAGTTATTTTATTTTACTCTAGTTAATCAGCTACTGTTATGGAATTGAAGACATTAAAATTGCTGAATATATAGACTGGAATGGCCAGAGATATATATTCCTCTTATTTTGTCACAAACTTTCATGGCGAGAGCAACTGAAAAATCCAAAAAATACAGACCTGACTGAATTCAATCTTGTTGTGATAGTCACCCAAGTAAAAAGAATTTATAAACTTTTTTGACGTAACTAGAATCCAGTCAAATCTGACCTGATTTTATAGTGCTCAACACAATCGTTGTGAGATAGCAACCGTAAAATTTCATTTGGGATATTAGTACTGTACTTAACAGAATATAATTTCTGTAAAAAGAAAAAATCGGCAACACACTTCAGTGTTGTTAAAATTGAGTAATAACAATAAAAAGATGCTTTTAAAACACATGTTTTCACTTACCTTCCCATCGTTTGTCTTTGTCCCGAGGATGAATAGTATAATGCGTAGTTATACGAGGCACAGAGGTAGTAGATGCACATGCTGCAATATGCAGTGATGGAAGGCAGTCTCTCTTTAACAACTTTAAAACATGAAAACACAGACGTGCTGCAAAAACAAAAAACAGATTCACCAAATCATTAGCTTTCCAAAGTTTTCTATATTTCAGAGACACAATGGCACAACAAATACGACAGCCCCTTAAAAGGCTGCCAGGTCAAATGAAGATGAGGAAGCGTATATATAGATTTTTAGTTATTCAGCAACTAGGACTGTGCATGTGTAATTTTAAATTAAAAAAATAAATAAAAAATAGAGAGCTTTCCCTTTAAGTGAATAGCACTCAAGGAATAAGTACACCAGCCAACCAATTCTGACAGCTGGCATACCACAGCATGCACGTACAAAGGAAAAAGACATTCTAAGTTCCTACGTCATTTTGAACATCAAAAGATTTATTGAAGACATCATTAAAAAGGACTAAACAACTGTAGAGAGAGGACATACAAGTTCATCCCTTTTGCAATCTCAACACATGTTCAGACACACAGCTTGGGCTGCTGATTCTAAGCAGCTGATCTAAAATAAATGTCACCATCTACAGTAAAAGCCAAGACTTAAACAAATATACTTTAGCAAGGCTAGAAATAGATACAGGTAATAAAGACACGCAATCTTTACCTTTGCTACAGAAACATTAATAGTTGCCACAACAAATTACGCATTCTCTTAAGTCTCAAATAAGCAAAATAAGACAAAAGGGCATGTTATATGCTTGTTCTAATTTCCGTCTTTCACAAAAAAAAAATCATGTTTTGGAGCTGTATGTGATCTGTTCTCAGAGAGCTAGTAAGTGTAGCACCAAAACTAGTTATAGTTACAAGATTTGTCAAGTAACGCACACTAAGTGGTATTTTCCCTTCCATTATGGATTCCCTTAGTCTAATTTCAGGGCAGAGAGGGAGAATACTATATTTGAAACACAGTATTTCTGCAAAACCACATAAGCAAAACCACCAACATACTGATGTTCGCTGATGTGTTTCATTGCCAACGGTGATTAACAAGGCCACCACAAACATCCTCCATCATAATTACATAGTGATAGTCGGGGTACTGGTCTCCATATGCAAGGTAATAAGAAACGGACATAGATAATACTTTTAGGTTAACAGCAATTTTGCACATAACAAACATAACATAAACATTATTACTATAAGTAACAAGTAATTCTTATCACGACTCACAAGTACCCTTCACCTGCACAGCTAGGTAAAGCTGTGTAAGCTGGACAGCTTCAAATAATGGATCTGAGAACAAGCAATGTGTTTTATACGTAGGATAATAACTACACCAATATACATTAAAACACGATACCATAACTTCATTTCTGAGCTATTTTATTTGAGCAAGACCGATAGCACTATGAGTTACACAGTACTGCTGCTTGGCAAAAATAAAAAGTGAAATTGACTTAGGAATATGTTTAATAAACACAAAGGCAGGTCCAAACTCTGCAACGGCACCTGAACAGACATACTCTTTTCACCCAACGACCTGGAACCTGGGCGACTGTGTTACTGCAGAGCTGAGAGCTTACGGACTTGGCAGTTCGCATACGTGCAGCAATGAACTGTGAGTACGAAGCGGTGCAAACAATCGCTAAGAAAAGAGCAAAAACTCGTTCCCACGAAGTTCTTTGACAACCGCCGCCAAGGCATTACTTCTACGATTATTACCTCGATAACGACGTACATCCAATTACCTTACCCTTTAAAACACGCTACACCTAGCAAAGATCGCTGCAAAACAGACAGCTCTTTACAGCGCCGCGTTACATTTTAACACCAGACACAGCACGTTAACAAAATACACCGGTAGCCCAACCCTTGCAGGTGCTTACTGCGTAGTTTCACCCTCGGAAGCACATTTAAACCAGCAGAGACCGCAGAGACCGCTCCGACGAGGAGGGAGCAGCTGCTGCGGGACAGCCGCCCCCCAGCG